CAACTGGTTGGCTGGAGACATTGAAGGATATGGAGACTAACCGACAGCAGCGGCGTTCTTGATGTCATTTCTTAACAAGGCAGAACGCTTGAAAAGGTATGCATGAACACTTAGATTGTGTACTGTGTGTTAAACATAGAAGTTCTTTTTCTTTGCCTCCCTCCAAGTAGGCCCAATCCCGCACCATTTTGTGCTTTATCACTTGATTTGTGTACATCGTGAGCTTGGCAGCGATCAGTGAAGCTCGCTTCACTGTATCTCGCTGTACGATGATGATGATGGTGACACATCCTCTGTAACTAATAGCTACGTGATCAATCTGACTCCACGTCTGTGCTGAACAGGAGTAACGCCAGGTGGTGAGATGACGTTTAGAATGTCTGAAGTTCGTGCTAACCAGGAACAGACCGTGTTCTGAGCATATGCTAAGAAGTCTAACCCCATTATCTGAACAACAACTATCAAGGCCATAATGGCCACCAAGGTGGGTTTCACGAGTGACAGACGGCCAGCGCGTGTATTTAGGTGCCAAGTAGCACTGGTTATTGTGCTTTTTTACATCGCATGCCTAACCAGATCGGTTTTATGATCTTTTGTGTGATTGTGCTTTCGCATTTAACTAAATGAATCAAACACATTTAGTTCTACTTCATATATAAACACACAACTGTAAATGCCCAGTGACGACGGTACGATTACAAGCTTGTTCGCTATAGTGCCCGTCATTTCCTATTGGACTGCAATACGGCAGATCAATGCATTCAACAGAAACGATAATTAGTTATTGCAGCGGGTGAAGCAGCAATGACAGGTAAAAACGGTGTTTTGCACACATACTAATAATTCTTACGGCAAGCTTACCTGTAACCACGGTCCCCTTGCCACGTAAGGTGTTTCCTCTGATACTAATGCACCGGAAACTCCATTGGGAACGAGTGTAATCGCGTGGTCTGGAAAGTGCGCATTCAGAAAAGTGAAGTGTCGACCGTGTTTTAGCCGATCGTTGACTGCCAGTGGAAGCATTTCTCCAGCTTCACGGCATAAATGAACATCCAAACATTTTATCACTCGAGTGGGATACAAGTCTAAGCTAGCCGGTGAGAGGGACAAATGCGCTAGCGGAGTGCACGGGGCTGATCCGTCTCCAGTACTACCTGGAGTGTGCGATACACCAGCCTCGTGAGCAGTAGGACGGAACAATGAGCTGAAGCCGGGTCGGAAACCGGGTGAATCCATGTTGAAGGGACGAAACCCCAGTGGACCTAGGACCGGATTGGACATCTCTGGGTTCGGAGTGCCACCAGTCAGTCGACTAACAGAACCCGAGTCGGACATGTCAGTTGGCCGGTTTGCTAATGAGGCTGAAGCAAGGAAAATAAAGACGGTTATAATTTAGTGACAAGATGAAAAGGTTAGCATGCTTTCCTATCGAATGAAACAGCAGTAATGTAATGCCTATTCAAGGGGAGGCTTTTGACTTCTGGGGGAAGAACTCGGGTTAAAAAGAGCCACACGCTTGAAACCGGCTTCGACGGTTATTGTAAATAGAGCTAAATATTGAAATAAACCTTTCGGACAACCTTCAGAGAGATGCGATGAAAGAGCAAACAGCCGCTGACTGAATAGAATGCCGCTTTCACAACGGGGAAGATAAAAATGGTGGGTCTACGAAACGAATGTCTTCGTTCCAGAACTAGGTAAAGGGCAAAAATGTGGTGGACATAATTAAGAACAGATCTGAAACCAACCTGGTTCACAGGCATGCATTGATCACGTGAGGCAGACAATCGACGGAGTGTGATATATGCGAAAAGCTCGGAAACGATATTGATTTAATTGGTTCCTCTTGTTGTTCACTAGAGGACCTGTCGCCTTTCTTCTAACCCGATAAGATGACCGACTTACATCATTCGGTTGGAATCTGATGACCATCATATATTCAATCCATGAGTTTGGACAATTCCGAGACCAAGACTGAACATCCATCAGGAGCAGAGGCCTTCTGTCTGATAACATTTTCAAGAGTAACTTCTGTATCAGAAGGAGGACCGATATGAACTGGCAATGACTGCCCAGTTGAAGCAGGAGCTGGGGGCTTTAGATTCGATGGGGGTTAGTTGAACCATGCTTAAAATGTTTTACCCAGAGTCTGAATGTGCAACAAATAACCACGAAAATCATTGTTATCAATTTTTTTCAATTGTATAACATGTAAACCTCGGAAGTTTGCACTTCATTGACACTTTTTATAATATTTATTGAATTAGTTGCTGAGCCGAATTAGCCTAATAGAATCAGCCTGATTTGATTAAATCAGGAAAATTTCAGATAAAATTATCCAGATGCTAATGAGGAAGTTCAAATAGACTACTGAAAGTTATATTTCACTTCAGATCTAACCCACATCCTGGTCACAACGTTGTTCAATTTATTCGCGCATTCTGGTAGTATCAAACGATTAATTGATTCAGCGGATGAGGGATGTTTGATCAAAACACCAGTGCTGTCTCACTATGCCTCCGAAAGCCTCAGTATGACTGGTGTTGGTGTCTTCGGTTGTGACTGATCATCTCTCTCTCTCTCTCTGTCTCTGTTGTACCACGCGAAATGCTCCTATATCACCAAGTTTCTTAAATCGTCTCTGCTGAGAAAGCCCAAATCACTGCTTTTCCGTGGAAGTGTTTTCTCACCAAATTGCCAGAACGAAATGTCAATATCCTGGGAAATAACTCGGACGGTGAACTACTGGCAGTTCGCCAAGGTGGTAGGCAGCTTTGCTGTCGTCCGGTTCAATACCACGCATAACCTATCGGGGCCCTATGTGGTTCACCACTCCAAGTCCTGGGGCTTAGGTTACCGGTTTTCATCACTGAACAGTAGGTCCTCATGACTATGCGGTTTACCCTGTCTGCTGTTCATCACACGAAAGTCTGTAATAAAAAAGGGGGATTTGGATAAAAATCCTGAGTTCAAACCAACCAAGAAGAGAAGTATGAACCACACTCTCCTTCTCGGATGTGGCAGTGGTCACCGGCTCAGGTGGGCATCGATGTGTATTAAGCACATTGGAAGTTTGACCCCGACCAAAAGGTATATGATCCGATGAATTGGACACCGGCCTCCAATGCGTTGCGGTTTTCACACACCGCCCTGTTGCCTTGAGGGTCAGGATTCCGTCATTCCAAGTCTCCGGTTATGAATTTAATAATCCGGGCAACCTGACTGTTTCCGACCGACGGGCAAATCACGGACCTTCGACCGCACTTTAAAGATCATTATACGCACAGTATGGACTCCAATAACTGTAAAATGTCTTACAATAGATGTAAACAACGTCGAAGGTACATCAGCCTTTAAAAAGTGCAACTTATCCGCCGGGCCCGTCACATATCACAGCTCATGATTACGAATGCAATTCAGTGGGTAAGTCTGCAATTCAACGAGATCCAGCACTTTCGTTGTAGCAAGTCCATCGTATAAGATGGTATGCACTTTGTCACGCTGAGTCAAGTAAAATAATCTCGTACTCTCCCCACCCCAACTGTTCACTCCTAACTTGGGCTGAAGCATCATTAGGTCACGCGGACTGATTCGTTTGGAAAACTGCCGCCGATGTGCACACAGGCAGGTCGGTTGACTCAGTTCACATGGTTAAAAATAAAGGTGACCCAGATGTCAGGTTTATTTATACAATTGTAGTTGAGCAGCGAAAGTCCGATCGTTGAGTTTAAATAACCCTGTATCCCATTTAGATCGTTTACAGTTAATTAAAAGGGACAAAAAGCTCAAAGGGAAAGTACCACACCATTCATTACGACGATACTGCACCGTGACGTAGGGTGAGGGCTTGCGTACCTCTCTGACCCAACGAGCTACACAGGATGGCTTTTATCAAGCAGCAGATCTAATCATGCCTGGAAGGTTGAAGAGTAGCGGTCAGTTTCAATTCAGTTTTCAGTTTTTACAACCATTATTCATGCATTTTCGTGCGCCGGCATTGGTTGCTATCTTTTGGTGCCCTATTTGGATAAAAGAGCAGAATGAAGATGAGAATATTGAAAGCAAATTCAAGCGGAAGATGGAGCATTCATATAGAATAGTGACAGGGGAATAATGAGTGAATGCACGAGCACCACTGTTTGCGACACACAGCCATATCACTCCTCCTAACCATCGGTGACCATCATTGGGGGCCTCA